TCGTAAGTGTTTAATTTTAGATAAAACTGCCCTTCTCTTAACTGGTCAACAGGCCCTAAAATGTCAACTAAATCAATTTTTTAAACATAAATTCATGTTTAAAGCACGCGAGCGCTGAAAGTAATGCACCTACATCTGAAAAAAGAGTATGCTCTATATTCAATGTGGAATATCGACGTAAATATCGAAAATACAAAAAAAGTGCATATCATCTTTTATATACAAAATTTTATTATCTTTCTTTTTTATATGAAACTTTACTTGCTAGAATGCACGATTACCGAGATATCAGCGAAAAAGTGATTTGGAGTACTTTTTTCCAAGATGGCGGCTCGAGCTCTAGGAGTTTCGGCCTCGCCTTTAGTATGTTCGAATACAAGCTCTAATGTACCTCTATACCAATTTTCAGCTTTCTTTCAATTACTTCCGCTATTCGTGGAAATTTGATCTAATTTGACTGTACTAAATGAATATGTGAATCCTCTAGAGTTAGTGAACCTGTGAACATATGAACTGTAGAGAACACGTGCACAATTATGTAATCATCGTTTTTCTTGAAAACTTTTCGCGTATTTTGAATGAAGAACATCTATTCCATCTGTTCGAATTCGGCTGTCCACCTGGGAGCTTGACATTTTGATACGCAGAAGGCAGTGGTGTAATTTAATACATTCAGGATGACTATGCATGCGGAAACCTATTCCATTTTGAATATTTAACTGCAAATATGCCTGTTGAAAGTACGTCCAGAACTATAGTCTTATGATTGCATCGAGTTGCATGTAGTAAATCGACAAAACAAAAGCGATTGTGCCCATTCGGTATATCTCTTAATTTTGCATCGTTTCGTGCTAATCTGTGCTAAATTGAATATTCTTCAGAGCGTACTCTGGTTATGTTCAGGAAAGGGATTCTTTATTTCTTGTGTTGGGTTTCCTCGGCTACCTCTTGCTGATTTTTTTCGTCTCCAGGAACTAAGAAAGGAAAATAAAAAAAAATATTTATTTATTTGATAGATTTGATGAACTTCTCCACATTTGTATATAAGAATTTTCCTTCGGACTATCGACTTCCAGGAAGGAAGTCCACATCATCAGACTGAGTCTCAAATTTGAGTCTGAATCTTTTACATGGAGTAGGTAGGTACTTATCTCACACCTTCTAGACCGTAAATTACATCAATCTAATTTTAGCTCACGTCTGATGACGAGGACATTTTCCATGAAATCGATATAATCAATTTATTTTATAATTTATTTATTTATTTATTTATTTGCAAGTTTGAAATGGAAATAAATCCATCGTTGTAAATTAAACATCAGGAAAAATGCGACTACACTAATCTTCCGTGCCTTAAAAAACCTAGGCTGTGACCTTCAATAGGAACTGAAATATGTACATTAGGTACCTAATTTAAAAAAATCCATATTCAAAATTATTAGGTATGTGCCAATCTACAAGACGCGGCACAAAAATCACACTAAAAAAATACGTTTTTTGTCTTAATTAACGGCTTGATAGAAGAATAAACCCATGCCTTAGGTTGCTTTCTGTAGATCCCGTTTAGATAGATGGACACTTTCCCCCGCTAAATTCGACTGGTGAAGCTTTCGGTGAAGTCTTGTAAATACTCGTCGTATATCTGGGATTCGCATTGATACGTAGAATTCGTGGCGAAGGCTTAATGTACCTTCTGATCTCTTCTTCAACGAGAAATGCCTTTCTCCTTTGGTCGTGTACTAAATATATCAAATACAATTTCCATAGGAGAAAGATCGGAGGACTGCCAAACTTTTTGGATAAAATGCAAAACTTTGTTTTCTGTGGGTAAAATTTATTTATGTTATCCATTATTTTTATATAGTTCTGCACATTTGCGGAAAACCTGGAAATTTACCTTTTGATTCTTTGATTCCTACAAAAATAAAAATATTTGGGAACTTATAAGAACGATCTTCACAAAACCTTATTTGTTCTTCGACACCTTTTTAATTGCTTTTCTGCTAATTTCCAACTTTTATGCAGTGCATTTGGTTACCTCATTGAGAAGAACTGCATCTACAGCATTCTTTTTAGGGCAGCTTCCAACTCATGTTGGGAAGCGTCGTAACTTTCTTATTTAATGATATTTTTTTGAAATTTTAACTACAAATGTTCTTGGTAAAGGCAAACATATCGCATATTGTAAAAACCAGATGGGCGCATGCACAGACTGCGCAATGCCAACTGTAGAGACATTTTTTTGAAATGTTAACCATAGAGGCTTCCAGTAAAGAAAAACATAGCCATAGCCTTTTGGGAAGTACCGATTAATGCATGGAAAAGGCGGTAGTTATTCGCTTTAGGGCGAACACCTTTTTACATATTGTGTCTCCTGGGATGTAAACTTTAACCTTCAAAACGTATAACGATTGACAGAGTTGGCGCTGGGTAATCTCAAACCAGAGTAGCTCAGGGTTGGAACACAAAATAACAGCGGTAGTTCATTCTGCGCATTTGATCTTCGTCCTTCGTTGCACTGACTAATCGGGGTTTAGTGCCACTCAATTTCTATCTTAACTCTCCCCGTATGGAATTGAGAGGATACGAGGGCGGTAATAACAGTACACATCAATTTAGTTACTAAAAGAAATACGGGTCTATTCAAACACCAAACGGCAAAAATAAAAATTGTCTCAAAAATTGGATAGCGTATCACACAGCTACAAAATACTCCCGCAAATATTGAAAATTATAAGTTACGTTACTCACAAATCTTAGTAAATTCACTGTACAATTCAAATTCCCCAATTTACCGCACCTCCAATCATGAATGATCGATTAGCAAACTAATTACTGAATCATAATAACAAAAGGTTCCCAAAAGCAAAATGAAATACGATCCATAATTATTCCGATGATGAAGTAATCACACAACCTTACCTTGAAATGAGCTGTTGAGAGGTCTCCTGTTAGCGAATCCGATCCTGTAACAAAGAAAATCCACGCACCTAAAGTCAGTGGTCAACTAATTACTGCCTGAAGAGCCAACGCATATTACTTGTGACCATAAGTCTCGTCCACTAATTATTTCGGAATCCCCAAATTATGAATCTAATCGCCAGAGATGAATATAATATATGGATGATGGCAGTTAAAATTCCATGCGTTCTAACTCATGCTTTCAGCTGTTTGTTAAGACGACGTGTATTTTGATATGGCTTACAAAAGAAAGAAATCTGAAAATCGACACGTACGAATCAAAGCGCTGGCCCTATGCGCGTCAAAATTGAGTTGTTAAATTCCAACAATAAATGGAGCTGTCTATCAAATTGCTTTAAATGTTACGGGGATCTTTCAACAGGTAATAAACCGTAATGGAGAAAATAAATCATTCCAAACGGTCTCCTTAAACTCCATGGATATACCACCCGGCATTTTGTTCTCCACTATAGATTTTAAAATTCAGCTACTGACAAAGAACGCGTTAATGCAGCCTTGGAAAAATTTAAAAATTTGGTGATAAGTAAAGTGTCATAAAAACTATTATACAGTTTTTTAGGGGGAAATATCCCCAAAATTTTACAATTGCAACCTCTATCAAGTTCCCCCTCATCGTAAAAGAAATTAAAAAAGAAACCCATTCCCAAAACAAAACTTAATATCTTATTTTAAGATTTATTACTACCGAAAACATGGATTTTTATCACACATTTTTAAATTGTCGATCTTCCCCGATTTTGCAATAACCCAAACGCTCATAAATGGAATTTTAAACCCTTTGGAGCACATCCCGAGTGTATTGGTGGTAGCATCAGGTTTGCGAGTTTGGTGGAGTAAGATCCGGAACGTGTTCCTTTTTAACTACCTTTAACATAAGGTGAACATCAACAAGGTTTGCAATTTAAAAATCTTGGGGTTTTCGCCCCATAAAAATATTCCTCGGTGTATGAAAAATTAAACACCCCATAAAATGTAGATTTTATGCTCCTTTATTGATCCCCAAATCTTCAGATTTTTCTCTTCACTCGTTTGAAACTTATAGCTCCGTTACGGAACCTATGGGGAAACCCTGTATGTTCAAAATAAGGATGTCTATCATGGGAAACCATAGAAGATACAAAGATGGTCAGGTGCCAGAAAAACCGAAATTTGCCGATTTTTGGTGTTATTTAAAGAGATCCAAAAAAACAAAAACCACCCTCGCATTGCTACCTCTTGAGTTTTGGTGTTATTTGAAGAGCTACAAAACAAAACTACTCTCTCATTGCTACCTCTTGAGCCCTCTAACACTGCGGAGAATTCATCAACTTTATTTTTTATGTGGCCCTTAAAAAAGTACACACTGTATTATTAAGTCGAATTTTTTAATACGAATACAACGATATACGGCACCCAAAAAAAAACAAACTGTTGCTTTCAACACGATGGTGCACTCGCATATAACGCTTTAATCGTGCGATAATACTTATCGGAAAAATTTTGCATTTTCCAGGAAATCAGAGGTTTATGGAATTTAAATTTTCTACAACAGTGGTTCTGAGTAACGTAAACGTAGAATTTCGATCGCATTTTTTAAAAGGTGGAAGTTTTATCTATCCGATCTTATTAGGTTTATTAACGAGCGGGTTCATGATTTTGGACCTTCTGTCCGTCCGTCCGTCCATCGGTGTAGGTACATGATAACTCGCGAACGGTTTCGAATTTTCCAATTATGTTTTCAGTATTGTTTATCATCAACCAAGGAAGAACTGATTAAATTTTCAGTGACCCAAGAGCTTGTTTGGTATAGTTTACTTTGATTTACTATTACAATATCATCTTAAGTAGATAGCACAACTTACCAAATTTTTAACCATGTGTTGAAACCCACGTGCAGACATGCTAACCCCCGTCATATTTCCAAAAAACAACAACAAATACGAGGAAAGTGATGTCATGTTGGAGCGGTGGCTGTCCTATATCTACTATCAGAGGAAACATAAAATAATGAACATTTGAAAATATATTAACGCATTTATTAGTGAAACAATTTAATCCTCACATCGATATAGGATGTAGGTGTTTGTACAGTCACCCCCTCGTTTATAAAATTGGATTCAAGTTCAATATAATTATTGTTTATTTTCATCATCAATGTAAAAATGTGAATTATTGTAGGAGTGGTAATGCACAACGGAATATTACTAAAGTTTAGCATTTACATGTAATATGGAACACCCTTTAAAAACGGCAGTTGTAATCGAATCGTGTATCCATTTTAAAAGACAATGCAGAGACGTTTATTTCAATATCGTTTATTAATATAACATTTAGCATAGTTTGTGGCACGATAGTTTTCTTAACACCGCCGATTACGACTGGAAACTGCAATCAGTTTGTGAACGTTCTTATAAAATAATTAACAAAAATACCTATTTGTGGGCGTTATTTTGACTCAAACAGTCAAATGTGATTGTCCGAACCTACCAAGTACCCTTTCAAAGAAATTTCCGGGAGTAATCGACAGTGTTTCGATACCTTTATAATACTTTATAAATTGTGAAGAACTTGCCATATTTGCACTAAATAAATTCCTTTCATTATTGTTCATGTTAACATAGTCTGGCATCTGTAACCTAGTCAAATAAGTACACTACGCCCTAAATAAAATAGGAAACCATCCACAATTAATTCAGTCATGCGCAAGGGTTACCATGAGATTCAACTCCTGAAATAATAATTGTGGATGGCATAGCGATCTGTTATGACAATCACAGAGCAATTCCTATACCAAATTCAGTCAGATATGATTTTGATTAGTTGCGAATACAACACAAGTGGGTAAGTCTTTAAATCGTAATATGTACGGAAACAATCACAATAACAGCTGACTTTTTTTAAGAGAAAATGTACACTAAACAGATATTTCTTGAATTTGAACACGTTTTTTCATTGTTCCGGGCGTTGTAGGAGCACCGTGTGGTCTTAAAATCCCCACTTGATTACTGGGGATAGGAGGTTGGTTTTTGGGCGGAGGTGGAGGTTCTGGAATACTCGGACTAACTATATTTTGAGAATGTTCATCATTTGAGTAACTAGGAGGGCGAACGAGAGGTGTCTCGATCCTTTTAATTCCCGGCGGCGGCGATGACTTAAACTCTTGCAGGGGCAACTCCGACATCGGCATGCCCGCTAAGGAATGTTTCTCATAACTATACTCACCGATATAATTAGGGGCTGATTTACGGTCAAAACTTGTAGTTCGTGAAAGTTCGCGCGAACTTTTACAAGAGTCGTAACTAATTTGGTGGGAATCAAACATCGCACTCTTACTGTCGTAGTTCTCGCCCGAGGAGCTACTACAACTACCGGCTTCTGCCAGTTCCTCCTTTTTCTTTTTATTACTTTTAGTGCGATCCCGTTGATGGTAGATCCCGGCGAAGATTAGTATGTTGAGTAGCAAAAGGAAGCAACCGACTGCAATTGTAACCGTCAGCGCCGTTGTGTAACTTTGGTAGTGGCTCGAAGCTAATTTCTTCAGCAAGTTGTTGCTGTTGGATAGTTTAGTCAGCGGGTATCCAATGGTGTGGTTCGGTGGACACTCCGTGGTGGTGGCCTGCAGGGCTGTATCGGATTTGGGAGGCAACTGCGTTGTTGATGTGGTAACCAGAACTGTTCTCGGCGTTGTTGGAGATGGCGGGGGTGCGATTACGTGCACCAGATGCGGTCTCTGAAGTGATTGTTCCCGAACTGAGCCTGTAGAAGACGCTTTACAATTAGCACAATCACAAGCGTGAAAACCTTACCGTCGTAGTATTGATCCCCTTCCTCTTGAAAGTGGTGATGCCTCATCGAAGTATCATCCCCTTCGCTAGGCCTATGGAGCTGAGGTATTAAGTTAAGCCAAAGTGACATTTTATGGCCTCGATAATGGTTACGCATTTCTGGACGATTTCCTGTGAAAAAAAATGACGTAATAGAATTTACTCTCGATTTTCGGGTAAACGAAAGATACACTTAATCGCGGTTTTGTGACTACTAACAATATTATTACTACGGCCATAAAATACTTTACAAATTCATTAATTCTGCAGACGACAATATTTTAACGTCACTTTTAATTAACATGATTTACGAGGAGACGCTCTTTTAATTTTGTAAAGCTAAGGAGGGTGCCGGCGAAGTATTTTATCTCGAATATTAATAGCAGTTTTAAGATTCTGGTGAAATTCTGGCGCGACAATTTCGAAGTTTTTCTATTGATTTTAGATTTATCGTCTGTGTGCAATGTGATAAGTATGGCAAACTATAAGAACTATATTAGTTGGTTACGTAGTAAGCTGATCGCATGTAATTCATCGAGAAGGAAATGTGAACCATTACTGCTTTCAGATTTTAATAAACTAAATAGAAAACCTTAATTAAAATAAAGCCGTGGGATACACGAAAGAAAGGAAGAATGCTAACTAACTATTTAAAACGGAGCTTGAAATTTACATTACACATAGGTACCCCTATAAGCCTATAACTAAACCCTTATGTTTATATTAATTTTTTGGTATATATATACGGCACTGTTCATATTTTTGGTTTAGGAGTGATAGCTACTTTGTTTGTTGACTTTTCTGGTTTCTATGTGCGAAAATTTAATTTAGTTTCTATGCACCCTTAAAAGGGAGTGGTGTGACATAATAAAGAAGCAGAATGCGATCTCTGTTGTAGAGAGCAAACAACGATTCACAATATAATAAACAAGATTTCTGTGAATTTGTGAATTACTCGTATGTACCTGGAAATTTGACCAGTTTTAGGTTAGTTTAGCCTTTGACATTAAAGACGTCCTATCGAGAGCCCTTTATTGAATTTTTTTTAAATTTTTTCAATTTTTGCAAATCTTTGAGGGATGGTCTTGGATTACGTATGAAAGCTTGGTGGCGACAGCTTGTCGTGCCATGAAACAAAATTAATAGGATGTACTACGTGATCGTTTTGGTGAGTTAGATCTGTGTTGCTATCAGGTCATTACGCAGCCTGGGAACTATGGACCTCTAATGGTTTCTGGCAGTAGAGGTGTTTGGCAAATTGCTGTCCTGGCGATTAGATTGGTAGCGATTTTGTAGCATATTTTTTGAAGTTAAATGTTAGAATAATTAAGTAATTTTAAGAAACGTCGATATTTAATTTATGTTGTCCATATGTTTTCTAGTGTTAACTTAATATTTAGTTTGAGTCTCAAAAGAAAACCGCCGCCTTGTCACCCTAACTTTACAATTTATGTGTCCGAATGCGTGACCAGGTGGACCATAAACACATGGCCACAGTACATGGGGTTTTCGAGAATATTAATTGAGAGCAGTTTTTAACAAGTCGCATTCTGAACCGCGCCGGAATCGGTCGTTTAGCAAATAATGTAAACCAGTATTCTTAAGATGACAAAGTTTATACACATTTTAATTTTAAGTATGCGTGTTATTCAAATTCAATAAAATTATTATCGTTGGTTACGAAACAACCTGGTCCTTCGTTCGAAGTCGGAGATCCATCCAAGATTTCAAACATTAAAGTTAGTGGATAATTTACGTCGCGAGGGGTATTACGCGTTGGGCCAAGGGAGCATCAACTCACGAAGACACCAAGTTAGAAGTGGGGCTAGAAAGAAACGATTATGCGTTAGACCATGCAAACATCGTGTAGCGTGGTCAAGAAAGTTGATTCAAATGCACCCTCGGAAAGAAGCCTAGCGAGATAGTAATGTTAATAGTCATAGTCAAACCACCGATAATTAGTTGCAAGTAGAGAAAGGGAAATCTGCTGTAAAACAGTTGTGCATGTCGACAAGAGAAGAAACAATCTAAATCGACCATCCGTGAATTTCTTGTGAAATTTAAATCGTCACTGTACATTTTTATTATAGTCCAATATGCGGAGCAGTCAGAAGAAGAATTTTGTTTTCTTTAATTTACTAAAGAAGTGTTATTCATAAAATATGGACCGTTTTCGAATTTTAAGCGAAAAACTGAAAAAATGCCAAACATTTTGAGGTTTTTTGGCTGCCAAAAGTTGTTTGTGTGCACTCTTCAAATGCTTGTTATTTGAACCCAAATGGACCATTTAAAACAATAAAGTTTTTTACACCACCTTTTGCAGGTCTACATTACCTGCATACTAGACTATTACGTCCAGGCTGTTTTTTAGGTAGCCGATTTGTTTAACGATTTTTAGAAATAAGCTCATAAATCAGCCCGAGTAGAATGTCTAGGAATTTCAATGTTGTAAATAGTGCAAAATAAGGTATCGCATTTTTTATATTTGTATCGCCCTCAGTGTTGGATTTTTTCGTGGTTGTGGGGTGGTCCAGTGATCAAGTGAAATCCAGACTAAAGACAACACCCTCGAGTTTGTGCCGTGCGAGGCGATCAATAATAGCGGATGAACGGATCCTGGTAGCCTGGTAGTTCAGTTACCTGACGTGCCGACAACACACTACTTTGGCCGGAATTTCGCTTAAGACTGCAAGTCATGGTGAAATTTCACCCGTTTGACATGGATACGGACACAAAAAAACGAGGGAGAGCATCCCAGGATATTCCTCAAACTCTGTTTCAGTTCACCGAGCCTCAATGCACCAAACCAAGAAAGCGCATCCTCTGGTCCTGAATAGAAGGGGAGAAAGACGGTCACGCAGACCCAAATGGGTCAAACTGCGCCAACAATCACCTTCAAACCATCCACCTCCCGGGACCTAACCTTGACCAAGAAGCAGACACCTAGAGCCAACCTCGGTCAGGCGGACAAACTGGTAGGGGGAGAGAAAGAAGGCAGAGATCCGATGAGTCAATACCGACCCAACCGCCGACGAAGAAGAGCAGACCACAGCCCCAAACAAAGGCGTGTGTCGGTATGGCTGGAGCACTGCGTAGTAGCTACAAGCAAGCTGCCGAAAGGCAACTCAAGGTAGCGATTATAGATACCAATAACCCTGTGGGTAGGCTAGCGGCTAACCAAGCAGATATGGTAAAAATTTCCTGGTCAAGGTCATTGACCAGCATCTGTTCGCCCTTAAAGACGCTACTTTAGCACCCACGTTCAGGGGTTGGAGGTACTGGGACGAGATCCTAACAATATCGTACGAGAACAACCATTACCTTGAGTGGTTGAAAGAAGTGGTTGGCAACCTTCCACAGTTGTGGGAGACTGTACAGGTACACCTACAAGTGGTGCAGGAAGACTGCCCTCCTAGAGTTCGCAAGGCTGCCATCTGGGTCCCGAGGGAACCTGAGCACCTAGTGGCATACAAGCGGCACTTGGAAGTGTAGAATTGGGCAAAAGTAATGGTGACTCTTCCACACAGCCGTGAGGAATCAACAAGGGAGGCGGAAAGTTTTCGGCACTGAGATAAAGGACCAGGCTTACCTAATCGCCCTGGGGGAAGACTCAGTTATCGGGTTACTAACCCTGTCGAACATGAGGTGGAGAGCCCCAGGCTAACAAAGCTATCTCTGGTAAGTGCTTGCTCCAGCGTCACCAACTCAGTCGAGTCGATTTTTTACTGGGAGGAGTTTGCGCATATTGAGGCGCTGCTGGAGTCTGATTCTAGCAACGGTGGATAAACGATAGACAGCTATTGTCTACATACATGAGTATGAAAGAGAATGTTATACACATTAGCGGCTGCTGTTACCTTAGGCAGACGCCTCACTGTACAGTAGGACATTGCCCTCATTCAAGAACCCTGGGATGTTAAATAAAGTAACCGTTTTCTTTGATACACGGCAAGAAAAACCTAGAGATCGTATTTATGTTCCCAGCCACCTTAACGTTCTTTGTGATATCACGACCATACAGTTACTCTGTGACACACAGGGTAAAGCTCAAGTAGCAATAGCATCAGTATATCTCCTGGAAGATTCTGTCAACCTACCTCCTAGTAATGAAATTGCAGAACTGATAGAACACTGTTAGAAGAACAAGAAGAAGAAGAAGAAGAAGAAGAAGAAGAACACCTCATTCCTCACCATACTGCATGGATGAGCACTAACGTCAACCCTTGGGGTAAATCATTAGGTACTTCAACATCTGACAAGTACTAATGTAGAGATTCTCAATCAGGGCAACGAATCCACGTTCGTAACTACGAAGCCAGACTGTGATTGATCTCAGCCTTGCATCATCGAGTATCTCTGACCACATAACGAACTGGCAAGTTACTCCACGTCCAGAAGCGACTATGACAGATAATAATATATTAGTCTCAGTTAAAATGAACTGCAAGAGAACGCCCAAAAGGGTTATGACAACCCGGATGTAACGGATATTCCCCATTACAAACATCTTAGAGAGCACCCTTTCGGGAGACGCCTCTCGGGTCCTGTCGACTTACACCACAAAAAAGATCTTCTTACCAACTTGAAAGACTTTGGGAATCATCCCCGAAGTTTGTCTTGTGGATGTATACTGCCAAGATAAGACCTATGCTCTGTTATAGAGCAATATTGTCCGGTGGCCTAGAATCAGACTCTCTAAAACCGTAACATTTCTTAACTATGTGCAAAGGCTTGTGTGCCTAGCTTGCACGGGCGCAATGCGAGCAACTCCCACAACCGTTATGCAGGCCCTTCTGGGTCTGCCTCCACTAGATCTCCACGTGAGGGAGCAAGTCACTCTGGCATCCTTGCGTCTGAAAAGGAGTTGTTGAATAGCAGAGGTACTGAGGTGGGCCATTATCGCATTCTGGCCAAGGCGATTAAGCGATTGCGAGAACTCGGTACCTACTTACAATGGGAAAGCGATGGGTCTCCCTTAGATATACGCAACAGTTGTAACGTTCCGTTGAATGTACTCTTGGTTTGTGGAATTCACTGAATGCGCTCTTAATGTGTTAGGAGCAGTTGGCACCATTGGGATTGAGAAAATATCACTTTTGCTTTTGTCGTTGAAATGACAACTTCTAATATTT